ATGTAAATGATAACAACTTCCTTCCCCCTTTTGACTACACTCATGGACTTTTTTAAGAAAATCTTCTTACTTCCTTCCTTTTCTTTATATATAGCCCCCCCCCCCTTTTTTTCTTTTTTTTTTTTTTTAAATTTCTCTCTATTACTTTTGGGCCATTTATTTTTTATTTTATTTTGCCCCATCTTTTCTTCCTGGCCTTTCGAACTCGTTTAAAATAAAATATATGAAGTTCCTTTTTACTCTCCTCTGAAATACGAAATTGCCCCCCTTTATATATACCTTTTCTTCGCACCTATGCTTGATTTTTCGCCCCATCGGAGCAACACAAGACATTTGTCTACTATGTCTGTCTGTCTGTCGTTTTTGTCTCCTGCGCTCTGATTGTTATTCGGGAATATGTCTGGCTGATGGTTTTAAGTATGGCTTACATTACTAGCATCTGAAAAACCGCGTTAGTTGTTTATTTTCCGATTAGATTTTAGTCATAGGAAAATAAATACATAGCGAATAATTATACGTTAATGCCAAATTTAACATTTTAACGCCATGACTCAAGTCAGGCGTAGAGTCAGCTTCTGTAATTGATTTTTTTAAATTAATCTGTAATTGAAATTTTTTAAATTAAAAATAAATAGTGACTTACACACAATAAATTCTAATATGATCATCGGACATGATATGCATCCCTTCCCTTTTAACGAACCGCAAAACATTCAAAAAAACAGCATTGTCGCATTGTGAAGAAATGGAGGCTTAAGAGCTACCAAAAATTTGAGCACACAAAGTCTTCTATCCGAACATGTGCATTTCAAACCTCAAATTTAGAAATTATTATTATTATATTTATTATTAATGTTTTGTGCGAACTTAATTAAATTTTGAATAACAAACCCAGCAGTTTAAAAGAAATTTCTTTCCACTCGGTAAAGCGTAAGATATTCATATTTAAAATTCAATCAGAAAACTCAGCGATTTAAAATAAATGTGATGGCTTTCTCCGAAACGAAATATTTTCAATCTTCCATGCTCCAGTGTATTGCCTTACGGCAAAACGTAAGATATTTAACGTTCCTGTCAAATTAAATCTGTCTATCACTGATTAGCAAATTAAGTGATTTAAACTAAGTGACAACTCGCTTCACGCCTGTTAGGAGTTTGGAACTATTTTACTTTTACCAGATCAAGTAAAACCGCATGACTACTGATGATTACAGACGGAGATTTTTCTCCATTCAGAAGAATTGCTAAAATACCAATAAAATTTGCACTTTCGTAATCAGTGGAAGGAAAGCAGGTTAACGAGCCACCCCTTTAATTAATTGCTTTTCGAGATCTTGACCTATACACAATGCAATTTTATTTATACCCAATGTAGGAGAGCTTTTATTTAGAAAATTCGATATCATGATTAATGCCTTGAGTACCAAATACACATTTAATAACTTCAGTATCTTCCAGCTTGGATAATATTGTCGATCTTCCGACAGTTCGAATGGCTATTCATATGCTGGTTTGAATTCTTCCAGTTATATGCCCAAGCCGTGGTGCTTCTCTATTATTAGATACTAATTACCCTTCTCTATTATTACTAATTACTAGCTGGATTCGGGGAATTACAGTAGCTAAACTCATTTTATTGTTGTTAATTATCTCACTCCTCTGAGAGTAACAGCAGAATAATCCCACGAAATTCACCGTGGCAAGGAGTGTAAGACCGCGCCTTTCATTGGCAAGAACCTTGAACACCATACATGTGACAGTCCAACTTTGCTCCTTCCGCCCAATTTTGGTGGAGAGCACCCTGGAAACACTACCAAAATTACCACCGATCCTAGGACTTAACGAGGCTCTCGGGGTACCGGTTTCCGAGGGTCTCCTACCACCAGCCTCTCTACAGAACTTTTTACTGGCATATTTAGAGTGTCCTCATGCCGCACAGACACTATACATTTACAAACACCTATGCCTTCTTCGGAATTCGAACCTGCGCCCATCGGTACGGCAGTTAGCGTCGTTAACCACTATCCAGGTTGGGTGGCAGCTAACTATTAAAATCATCTACATATGTAGAATGTGTATTGTAATAATTATTTCGGCGGTTAACCGCGCTAACGGCTAGTGAAAGCACAAAGTGAAGATTCAAAACTCGAGTCAATGATGCGATTTTTTATGTTTCTGATATTAAAATCCAGTGGGTGGGTGATTTCGATATATTTGTCACCGCTTATTTATATAATTAGGCAACTAAAAAATTTATTGCGATATCTATGGCTGCCCTTTCACCAAAATTTCTCAAACTTAAAAATTTTCTATATAACATATATGTTAATTACAACACAGAACCCTATCAATAGCCAAATGCTTCGTCTCTGTTAAACGCAATTCTAATGTAATTCAAAATTAACGTCCTTAAAAGTTTGTAACATCTAACCAGTGTTAAACTTTTACTGATTTGAGGCGAATATAATACATTACTATACGAAATAAAGCTATTTATTTCCATTCAGAATTACAAGTAACCATATACTATCATCGAAAATGTTCTAAAAAAATTACAGTTGCCACTCAAAAAGAAAAAACATAAAAGTTCAAAACATTTCTGCAGACGATAGCATTTGTACGAAATAATGAAGAAACTAATAATAAATTTTATAATGAAACAAATGTCAGTCAAGACTGTTGTCAAGTGTAACCGAATTGTTTGTGTTGGATTAGGATTCCGCAACAATGTTATTCTTCCCCAGTCATTTATATTTTGGAATTGTCTGTCCTGCGATACACTATCCTATTGTAACGTAGTATCTGAAGGCAAATCTTTTTCCAGTTATGTATTCTGAGATAAAATTAATTTATAATTTTTTGAAGTTACAGTCGCACGTGTAAAAAAGAAGTGAGTTTTTCTAAAAACAATTTTGAAATTTAATCAATTTCTGTTCATCCAGTCATGTCTAAGTGGAACAAAAGTGATCCGCGATGGTTAGTTGAAGAGCGACCTGATGCGAAAAATGTCAATAATTGGCACTGGAGTGAAAAAGATGCATCTCAATGGTCAAAACAGAAATTTGATGAACTCTTCATCGGTACAAAGATAGAAACCAATTCTGCATGCTGCGAAATAACTGAAATAACTCAGTGTGATGGCGAAGCAATAGTAAATAATCGAAAAGGAAAGTTAATCTTTTTCTATGAATGGGCATTGGAAATGCAATGGTCAGGTGTTTTAATTAATGCAAATACAAAAGCTTCAGGAACAATAGAGGTTCCCAATTTCAGTGAAGAGCATGAAATTAAAATTGTTGATGTAAATGTTTATTCGAGTTCTGTAGGACCTGAAGGCGAAATTTTGAAAAATATTATGAAAACAACTGGTACTGAAATCGTAAGGCAGAAACTGGAAAAATATCTTACATCTTTGAAAAATGAGTTCCCAAAAGGACTTATTTTACCTACAAAAGATCCTTCAGATAATAAAATAATTAAGAGCGATATAATCAATCGAAAAAATGATTTTCGTCTTCTTATTACAGAAAGTCCCGAAAAACAGACATTTGAAACAAATGAATTAAAAACTGTAGAATCTTTCAAGTGCACTGCAGATGAATTCTACTCTGCAATGACTGTGAAAGAACTGGTTGAAGTATTTACTCGGGATAACTGTATTTTGGAACCAAAAGAGGGCGGAAGATTTGAGCTTTTTAATGGTAATGTTCATGGATATTTTGTTAAGCTAGTTCCAGGAAAAACAATACAGCAAAAGTGGAGGCTCAAAACTTGGCCACATGCACATTTCTCAGATGTGTGTATTGATATTGAGCAAAAGACCGATTGCACTGAAGTTTCTGTTGCACATTTAGGCATACCAAAGACTGAATTAGAAAATATCCGAGAAGGCTGGAAGAGATTTTATTGGGATAGTATAAAGAGAACTTTTGGTTTTGGAGCATTTTTACTTTAACTCAGAGACTAAGTTACTGCTCATCAAAAATATAAAGAGGTTTGGGAGCATTTTTATCTTAATTTCCATATTAAATTACTGTTTAAACATCAAAAACTTCAAACCGCATTCCTTTTCATAATGAAGTTTCCAATATTTGTTGCTATTATACATACACATTTTTGTTATTATAATTTATTCTCTCTTTAGTAAATATATAATTTAGAGAAAAAAACTACAGGAATATGTTTTCCTCCTTGGCGTTGCAGTACATGTCTGATGTTACATTTTCATATTCTAATTGTTATCAGATAAGAAAAAGCTGATAAATTGCCGTATATTGTACCTGTATACATGCGCATACTGGTGACTTAATATTTCCTCTTCGTCTAGATAAATTTATTTTAAATTTTGCCTTCTGTCAATAAAAGCGTATATGTTAGTCCTCTTAGATTATTTTTAATGCATAAAAACTTCAACTTCCACAAAAATAAGTGTGACAGCATGTTGATTTTTGTTGTACAGTTTTAACGTATATGCTGAAGTTTATACTAAAATATGCATACTAAAGAGTACGTTTGTATTTGTCACAAGGGCATGATTGATACACGGTAACTTTTGCATTCATTGTTACCAAAAAAATACCGCTCAAAATATTTATCTAAATTGTAATTTTCTTTCAAAACCGGAGGAAGATTTTAATTAACTTTTATGTGAAAATCTCAGTAACTGCAAAATTAGTAGTCGGGCCATTTTAAAAATTTTAAACTATATTTGAATTTTTATTGTTTATATTTTACATATGTTGTTTCTAGGCCTTCTCATTTTCTAAACACATTTCTCTAAAATGTATTCTTTTTGAATAAACTCTTTGTTATAAAGGAGAATATACTATAAGAGAAAATTTGATTCTTTCCTTTTCAAAGAGGCTACCACACTTAATCACAAAAACTAGCAAAACTAGTAGCTCAATCTGTAACATGCAAATTTCAAATGTCGTCAGACTTACCGTATTCCACCCCCTTTTTTTAACTAATTTCATCGTTCAAAAATCGAGAGGGGAAAATTTATGCAAGAAATTTAACTCTGGGAGAACGCGATTACAGTAAGAATATAACAAATGAAAAATAGTTATAGATAAACTACTGGTAACGATCACAATATTATTTCTTTAAAAAAGAACTCTGCATTCCAATAAGAATACATAGCAATGTAAACATTACAATATCTGACAGATACTGAGCAGATATCTGCTGGGCATATGAGGCTCGTCTCAGTTGCCTTGTAAAGCCCCAAGGACACATAACCTGAATGAGTCTTGACTGCAGTTCCCAAGACGGGCATCGGAGCAAAGAACAAGAAGTGCGAACAAGAAGACCTAGCTTTCGAAAGATCGAACCCATCGGTAGTAGACAATGTTATAATGAGCTGGAATACAAATAATATAAGTAAGGTGAAATCACATGTTTGGAAGGTTTCTAAAGTGTGAGAACACTTACTAACGTCAGGTGACTTAACGAAGAATCTGCGCAAAAAAAAAAATTTCAAGTAATAAATGCAAGACAACACAAAATAAATGAAATGCTAACAAAATTAAATACATTGAATAAAAATAAATATAATGAAGGGAATCCAATACACCAATAAACTAGCCTTTAGAGGAGTACAATAAGGAAAATAAGGAAAGGGGAAAATTATGCGAAAATTCTAAAATATTAATAAACTAGCACTAAAAAGCTAGGGGGGAGGAAATACGTACGGAAATACGATATATGATGGTCGCTTTAGCAAAAATTATCGAAAATTTTAATTTTTCAAACCTCAGTAATTTTATTTTTAAATAATATTTTCCTGATCTATTTGCTACATAAACTGCTGCCATCCAAAATGCAGTACGAAGAAGAGATATCAAAGCCAGACTTATTTCAGAGAATACACATAGTATCAATCTCAAGTAATTTGAAGTACAGCCTTCTTTGAAGTGAAGAAGACGAGAAAATCAGTAATGAGTCTTGCCTTCCCGTTTGTCAATAACCGCGGCTACACATCGCAGCATTGAGTATGAGGCTTTGAATGTATTGCTGGGGAATGGCCACCCATGCTGCTTCCACGCATAGCTAGAGTTCGTCTGGTGTACCCACGGGTGCGGCATGCTAGGCTAAACGTTCTCCAGTCATTGACCAGGCATGTTCAATGAGCGATAGATCTGGATCTGAAGAAGACCAGGCTACAAAACATCAGCTATATAGCATTGGTAGGTTAAGTGTTCCGATAGTGCCTATTAGAGGGGTGTGGGAGTGGATTCTAATACTACCTCATACCACAATACTGGGTGCACGATCAATATGATGATGCATAACACAACAGTCGAACAGCCTCTCTCCACGATGTCTCCAAACTCTTATCCGACCATCGTGGTCCTGCCAGAAGCGTGATTCCGACTATCGCTCTAATAAGACCATCGTGTGTAAGCAGATGCGTAATTTGTCCGAAAACAAATTTCATGACATTCGGATGTCCAGTTCCGCCGTTCAGCACACCATTGCAAACGCAAACGCCTGTGGTTTAAATGTAAGCAATGCAATGGACGTCTAGTGAATAGTCCATTGCACTGTAAACGACGTTATAGTCCTAAATATAGTGCAGTGTTCAATGTACCATGCATTATAAAAATTTTAGTGTATTGAGTGTTTTATATATATATGTGTGTTAACGTGCAATGTAACCAGCAGAATGTTTAATTACAAAGTTATTTTTTGGTATGCAGAAAACATTATGCTACAGTTAACTTTTAACATAATGTTATTTAATTAAAAGTAATATGGGCTTGTTAGTTCGACTCACTGGAAATCGAACTGATTGCATATTTCTTATTCATAGTCGATAAAAAACAAGCACAACTTATACAGCATAAACTAAGCTACATCATCTTACTCACATCAACACAACAGCCAGCCACATGACAGACAAAGTAGACAGATGTCTTGTTTTGCACCCGCTAAGTCTTTCTGCACCGATGGGCGAAAAATGAAGCATAAGTGCGAAGGAAAGGTATATAGAAAGGGGGGGCAATTTCGTATTTGAGGAGAGTAAAGAAGAACTTCGTACATTTTGTACGAGTTCAAAAGGCCAGGAAGAAAAGATGGGACAAAATAAAATTTAAAATAGAAAAAAAATAATAGAGGGGGAAATAATAATACTAGATAAAAGATAGAGATAAGAGATAAAGATATAGATAGAGGGGGAAAAAATAATAGAGGCTCAAAAATAAGAGGGGGGGAAAAGGGGGCCTATAGAAAGAAAAGGAAAAGAAGTCGAAAATATCCTAAAATACGATTGTGTCCATGAGTGTAGTTAAAAGGAGAAGAAGCTGTCTTCATTTACAATAAATAGTGTCTCACAGCTGTGTGTGTGTAGTGAGCGTGTTTGGTAATGGTGAATAGTGAGTGTGTTTGGTAATGGTTACTGGGAAAAAAAAATATTGACAGTGTTAAAATGCTTCGTATCAAGGTATTTCGCATGGAATACAAAGTAATATGTATGCTTGAATCCTGAGACATCGACAAAATTCATCAAACAAAAGTATATATAAGTATTAATTTAACTAAAGTAACTTATGCTATTTTCGTTCGCAAGATTTTCTTACGTTTCTCAAAAAACAGCAGCAGACAAACAACATAGAACCATATACAATACAAGACCACACCCGCACACGCCAAAATAAATAAATAAATATATATTATATATATGTGTGTGTGTGGTTGTGTAAATTACAGAGTATATGTATTAAAAACACAAATTAAACATAGTTGTGAAACTGATTAGCTGTATCTAACAAATATTAAAAACAAATCTCTTCATTTTGATGTACGAGACACAGATGGCGTTGGCTGTCATTGAAGTAGGAAGAAAAAAAGGGTTTTGCCCTTTCGACCTCGTGACGTGAACTGATTAAGTGTGTAATAACTTTCGGGGCCAGAAAAATTTCCCGACAATTGTTAAAAAATGTATATATTTTGTAGTATAGAGAGAATATAATTAAATAAATCAACATATTAGAGTTTTTATTACAGATTCAACATCACACTACCCAGGTATGTGAGCAAGTTTTGTCTTTAGTTTTTCTGGATTGCTCGGTATCTGGGATGAGTGAAGGAAGTATTTTTATTTTAATGATATTTAATGATAAGACTATGTTTTAGTAATAACAAAAAGTGGCGTCAGTGACAGGACTCTTAAGAAATAAACTTTAAAAAAATATTTTAATGGTTATAGATAGTTTTTGATGTATTAAAGTATAATTAAGTTTAAATTCGAAACTATTTTTTGTAAAGCAGTTTGTTTTATTTTGAAAGTTAACTATGGAAGCTTTAAAGGCTCTGAAACTTAAACGGGCAGGTTTACGCACTTCTTTTGCAAAAACTGCTAATATTTTAAAAACGGAATTAGTAAAAGAAGATTTTTCTGTAGATTTAGTACGAGATAAACTTACTAAACTACAAAATGTATATTCAGATATAAAAAATTAGATGATAAAATTCTTGATTTGTTAGCTGAAGACGGGAAAACTTTAGAGGATGATGTTACTAAAGAAATCGAAAGTCGCGAGGTGTAATTCTGATGATTTCATAACACTAACTCGGCAAATTAATGAAAACATTGCAATTTTCAGATGAAATCAATTTAGAAACAAGACCAAATGATTGGTGCTGGTATTTGTTGTAGTAAGATTAAACATTATAGACTTCCGAAAAGTCGAACTTAAGAAGTTTGATGGGGAATTGATAAATTGGCTTACCGTTTTGGTCGCAGTTTGAGAAAATTCACACTGACCCTGATTTATATGAAAGTGACAAATTTTCCTATTTGATTCAGTGTATGAAGCCCGGATCACGTGCTAAAGAATTCATTGAAAGCTATCCGGTGACTTCGGAAAATTATGATAAAGCTGTTTTAGCTTTGAAGGAACGTTTTGGGAAACCTGAATTATATATTAGTAGAAGTGTATGTTAGGGAAAACTAATTAAATTAATTGTTTCTAATGTGAAGGCAGATCATAAGGATAAATTACCTTTTTGATAAACTGTATGATAAAACTTGAAGCTCCAGTTGAGAGCCTTAGAGTCTTTAGGTCTTAAATCGAGCGAAAACACATCGTGGTTATTTCCGATGGTGGAATCGTGTCTTCACAGGAGGATGTTTTAAAAGCGGTGGCAAAGGAGTTCGCTCTTTAACCAGCCTGAAGGAACTGAATCTTTCTCGCCTTACCAACTTAATGAAAGTTTTAAAGTCTGAAGTGGAAAGGGTGAAGGAGAGATTAAAATTGGCGCGTAATGGACTCGATGGTGTTAGTCGTAAAGAAGGATATCATGATAAAATTGATATCCTTCTTTACTTCTGCTTAATGAACTGCTTACTTCTGCTTAATGATACTTAAATGAGCTTCAATTTAAGCAAAGAGGGAAACAAAAGGTAAATTTAAATTTAAGAAACAGGGAAATGTTCCCACTGCCACAGGTTTTCTTACAACCAGAGAACATGCATTGTATTTTTGTGGTAAAAAATGCATGATAATAAAAATTGTTACGATGCACGTTCATTATCTCTTAATGAAAGGATTTCTAAAGTTAAGGAGAAAAAATGCTGTTTAAAATGCTTGGAACCAAATCATATGGCAAAGTTCTGTAAACAGTTTGTTAGGTGTTTTGCTTGTGGTAAATCACACTCAGTTATTTTGTGTCCAGGACATTAATAATGAAACTGAACTTCCTACAGAAAAATCAGAAATAGACAACATACGGCTACA